TCGGTTTCAGAAGACGTACGGTCAGCTTGATTGCGAACCATCAGATCCGCCTTAATCTGAGCCATCGATTTGAGGGCACAGTAGCTATAAGTAGGAGGGCCCCAGGCCTCATCTCCTTTGCGCTAACTTGCTTTGCTCTTGGATTCTGAGGTCGAGTCTTCATCTAGCTGCCCGAGCTCTTCTTCCGTTCACACCATCTTTTCCAGTTCAGCTTTCCCTGGTGAGTCTTATCACTTTGTCAATATGTCTGGGCACCGTACAACAACTTTCCCTAGGGTGGCGACCAATGAGACGCCTCCTCGAGCTCGAGGTGAACTTGGGGGCAGGTTCCAGAGGCTAAGGAGGCCTCTGGCGAAACGGCTTCCACCTCCCGGGGTAGGGAGCCTGACAGTTTTGGTCCCTCCACCATGTCGATGGAGAGAGTCATGACCTTGGTCCTCCACTATGACCTTCCCAGAAACCTCATCTACAGTCTTCCCTCCGGTAACTACCCTTGGGAACACGGTCACGACAAAATCGTGATCTTCCAGGAGCAGCTCATCGCGGGCCTCCGTCTTCCTCTACATCCTCTAATTGTGGAGGTTACCCGACTATGAGCTGCCTCGTAGTGAACTCCTGGTGGTACTTCAAGGTGATTCCGCCTGAGGTAAACTTTGGGACAACTCTCCTGCCTAAGTGGTGGAGCGAGCTGGTCATCCTTGCTTGCGAGCTGGTCATCCTAGCTCGCGAGCTGGTTATCCTAGCTCGCAAGCTGGGATGAACTTGCCTTGGAATATTCCCTTTCAGTACATTGGGGGTTCTCGAGCTCGCGCTGTAGCGAGCTTATCCTGTGGCCTAACTGTAACGTAGCGAGTTGCCTTGCGAGCTTGATACTTAGTCACAGCTAGGCTGTTATGCTGAGCTATCGCTTGTGTTAAGTCATGTCCACGTGTCACCTTCTCAGGGGGTCGGGTCAAATCACCCTCCATCACCTACCACCTAGTAAACAAAACCAAATTGAGAATTTGAGATATTAGTATGCGTAAACAATCGGGTAGATCAAAAATCATAATTTGTAGAGACTAACGAAATTAATTACTTGTTGTCAAGCATGGAATGAAGTGTGCGAATATCCCACCCGCGGTAATGATTGTTAAGTCGCCCGAAATGAGAGACTCAGGAGGCGGAAATGAGAATCTGAGAATTTTGTGAAGGTTGTTAATTGGAGGAGTCTTTCTATTGTCCAATCTACAGTTCTGATGGTTCCGACAGTTCCAGTGAAGAAAGTGAGAGGGAGAGGGAGAGATCTGAGTGGAGGGTAAAATTGTTATTTGTGTCAATATAAACACTTATGGTAAATGTAACTTACCAAACATCCCCACCCCAATAAGTGCTTAAAAAACATAATAAGTGATTTGAAAAGTGGGTTACTAAACAACTTTAGGGTTTGTTAAAACAAGTACTAAGAAGTACTTAATCATCAAATAGGCCCTAAGAAGTAGAACACGGACTGCGAGTCAAAACTCCTTAAACATCAGCTAACAAGACAAGGTCTAGCTGCCAGAGGGGAAATGAATTCCCTATAAGGATTTTGAGTTGAGTAGGGCTGTCAATTGGACTGGATTTGGTCTAATCTAGTCCAATCCAATATTGGTTCATTTACAAATGGACTGGACTAAATCCAGTCCAAATCCATACAAACCAAGTCCTATCCAATTCAAATAAAATGCAAATAGACCGAATTGAGTTTAATCTAATCCAAATTGAATCAAACACCAAAATAACATGAAAAATCCATAAAATACACAAAAAAACTACAATAGATCGGATTGGGTCTAATCCAATCCAAAGTGAATGAGTAAAAGTACTTTTAAAATTTCTTTTGTAAAAGTGTTCATAAAAGTACTTTCGAAAAGTGCTTTCATATAAGTACTTTCCAAAAGTGCTTTCATAAAAGAACTTTTATAAAAGTGGTTCCATAAAATTGCTTTCATAAAATGACTTTTATGAAAGTGCTTTCATAAAAGAACTTTTGAAAAATGCTTTCATATAAGTACTTTTCAAAAGTGCTTTCATAAAAGTACTTTTATAAAAGTGGTTTCATAAAATTGCTTTCATAAAATGACTTTTACAAAAGTGCTTTTATAAAAGTGTTTTTATGTCGGTTTAAATTTTGATCTGTTTCAAATTGGACAAGGGTTTGGCCTCATAGAATTATTGGGGAATTTGGTTTAGGTCCAATTTAGACTAATAAGAATATAGACCAATTTATTTTGGATTGGCCCAATTTAATAATTATAACGACTGTCCAAATCCAACTTGATAAGGTTTGGATTGGATCGGATCCAATCCATAACTGGTCCATTGACACCCCTAGAGTTGAGGTTACAACCCAAGTTAGCTAAGTAATCGGCAACCCTAGTTGCCTGATGACAACAGTTTTGCAGCTTGACTAGCCAATTTCTTAGGACACGTACTTGAATTGTTTTGAGCTTCCAATAATTCTAGTACAATCACAATTAAGAGCAAGAATTGTTGAAGTAGAATCTCATTCCAAAACCATCTCACAGAATCCCAACTTCCAAACAAAATTAGAACCCATATAGGAAAGCTTTTACATTGATTGAGCGGCATTGACTGAGCCACTTCAAAGAAGCCACCTCACATAGCTTCATCAGAAAGTCGATTTTGCAACTTCTATAATCCTATACTCAACTTATTTTTACCAAACATGGCTTCTCAACATTCCAAGTTCTTCAGCTCATGCAACACCAAAAGTTGTGTGAAAGCCCTCCCAAACGGGCACTTAAGACCAATTGCCACAACCAAGACTTCAGTAACAACATTTGGATGTTTGAACAACATAATAATCCCTTAATCCACTTTTCTATTGACCTCTACAATTCCAAAGGAGCCCTATCGCACTATCGTAATCTCCCATTGCAGCTCCATCAGTGTTCATCCTGATCCACGCCAAATTATTGGTTAGTTTTAGAAATTATAAAATAAATTAGTATAATTCTAAAAGTAAACTATTTAAAAAGAAAGTAAATTATTTAATAAAAATTTAAATAAATTTTCAAAATTATACAAATACAATAAATTTTCCAAAATTTTCACAAAATTACATTTTTGAATATTAAAGACAATTTAGTATATGTTTAGAAATTTACCATGTGGTTGATATTCAATATATCCTTTTAATCATTTTTATCATCAAATTGAATATTGGGTTGAAGGGGACAGTGTTTTCAAAACTGGATCAAACCAGATGGTTAGACCGGCAAAAGTGGGAACCAGACACCGTTTCACCTCAAAACCACTTTTTGTCCAAATGCCGTTTATTAGGTTAGTGAACCGCTGACCTGGGTGGTCGAACCGTCAACCCAAACAATAGTTTATGGCCTTTTTTTTGTTTTTCTAATTTTTTTGTCATAGTGGGTGCCTTGCCTTGAGCTTGGTTTGGTGTGTGGCATGGCCTGGCCCAAGGCCTGGCCCATGAACCAGCCTGACCCACAGCACGACACGGGCCCGTGTGAGCTTGGGTCATGGGCCGTGCCAAACCGGCCCCCCAAATTATGCTAGAGGAGGGAGGCATGGCCCGGGACACCTCGTGGGACAGCATGTCATGATTCGCACTTTGTGCGGAACACATGCGGGTCGTGTCGTGCCGACCCAGCACGACCCAATTTATACCTCTACTTGAACTTGCCCAATATTGGGGACGGGGCAAGGAAATTCAAGGATTTTCCATCATTGATGAGGAGTGAGGTGCCTTACCCCTGAACTCGCCCGACATTGAGGAGTGGTTACCTTGCCCTAAACGCGCATGACACTAGGGACAGGGTGGGGATGGGGTAGAGTGTATTGACTAGGGGGCAAGGAAAAGGATGGTCGGATGGGATGCCCTGCCCTAAACCCACCCCATTGTCATTCGTATATAAATGTTAATTATTAGTGGAATTAATAAAAATGTTAGTTTATATAATTGTTTTTATCTATTTAAAATTAATCAAATTTTTATTTAAAAATAATAAAAAGAATAAAATTATTAAAATTACTACAAATTATTAATAAAACTAAATTTATTAAAAAATATTTTTTCATATTCAATTAACAATAATTATTTTTTATAAATCAACATAAAATAAAAATAAAATTATTAAATCTTTCAGATCTTGCTAATAATCCCTTAATCCACCTCTCTATTTACCTCTACAATTCCTAAGGAGCCCTCCAACTATCGCACCATCGTCATCTCCTTTTGCAACTTCATCAGTTTTCATCCTGATCCACGCCAAACAAGGCTTTCAGATCCTTGGGCCTGTCCGTACTTTTCGTATATTTTTCAATGGCAAGACCCCATGTCCGCAGAGTTGCATATTGCGTAGATCTCGTATGTGCGAGTAGTATTAATGGATGTTTCAGATCCATGTATATTTTTAACATATGAAAAATTATATTAAAATTTAAATGAAATAAAAATATAATAAATTTCTGAGATTGTTGACACGCTAATTTATATCTCAAGTGATTGTTGTCACGCTTGGATCATACCCAGTTCGGATTGGATTGGGGGAATTATTATATTGTAAAATATACATTATGAGCAAAGTCTAACACAAACCCAGTGCACTTAAAAATCTTCTAATATTGCAGTTGGAATCAACAACTTTTTGAAAGTGGGCCCATCTCTAAAACTAAGAAAGTTCTGCTACCTGGTATGAGATCGTTTCTCTCCTAATTCAAAATAAAAAGTTTCTATTTCGTAATAATCCATCAGGGTTTAGGAATTAGGATGAAGGTCGGACTCCAACTCCAAGAATGATTCCAAGTCTGCAACTATACGAGAATATAAAGAGACGATTGCGACGACCAAGAAGCAAGACAACCTACCTAGAGGCCAGACGATTGCGACGACCAGAGGGCGACGACGACAAGAAGCAAGAAGCAAGACGATTGCGACGACCAGAGGGCGGTTGCACAATAAAGCCAAGAGAGCAACCTACCTAGAGGCCATAATGAGAGGGCTTAAAGAAGCAGATAACAATGGAAGCAAGACAGCTGTTCATCATCTTCCCCCAGAAATCATATGGGAGATCTTATCAAGGCTTCCCGTCGAGTCTATATTCAGATGCAAACTGGTTTGTAAAAGCTGGTGCAGGTTAATACTGGATCCTTATTTCAATGAGATGCAGCTGATACAAGCAAACGCCAGGCCGAAGCACATCATCCTTTATGAGAAGTATACCCTTAAAAGTAGCATATTTTTGTTAGATCAAAGAATGGATGAGTGGAAGGATAGGGAGTTTCCAGTGGAGTTCATGCGACAGTATACAGATAACGAATTCATCATTAGCGGTTGTTGCAATGGCTTGCTCTGCATCCTTCCACTTTGCTCATTGGAGACAACCTACATTTACAACCCAATTACGAAATTATGTGTGTCATTACCTTTACCGGATTTAGATTCAAATTCAGCTATCGATGATACACTTCCTCCCAAAATTGGTTTCGGTGTCGATTCCACTACAAAAAAGTATAAGGTTCTTCGAGTGCAATACTTAGGGGAAGACATAATTCAGGACACGTATCAGTTCAGGAGTGAGATCATTACTCTCGGTGAAAGTTTATGGAGAGAATTGGAAACCCCTACTAATATTGGCCATGGTTGTTGGATGGAAGAGATGTTCTTCTTGGATGGATCCCTTTATTGGATCAGCCAAATCAGACCCTCCAGTAGCAGATTTTCTATCACTGTGTTTGATATTGGCCATGAAAAGTTTCGGACTATAAAGTTCCCTCCCTCTGTACCATTACCAAGTTTTCATAAAAAACTGAATCTAATGGAGATAGATGGTTCTATGGCACTGGTTGAATGTGAAAGGACTACGATTCGCTTATGGCGCATTGTTCGTGATGGAGGTACGCATAATTTGAAGTGCCAATGCAGTTACAACATCCCGGTAATATGGTTAAATAGACATGACCACAACTACTTATTGATGGGTTTGCTATCCAATGGCTTATTCCTAATCAAGGTAGATACCGGATTTTGTCAGTATTGCTATGAAATGATCAGAAACGGTGAGGATTATTGTGTAGATAGCATTATAATGTATTCTCCAGCTACCAAGAAGCATGGCTACATTGAAGGATGGAGAAAAGATATGACATGGTTTCAGATATATAGTTTTGTGCCAACTCTAGTCTCTCCAAATGCTATCGTTGGCCATGATTAGTCTTTGAAGTTTCTTCTTTCCATCATGGGCTATGACATTGAAATCACCACAACATCACCAAGGGCCACAACAGAAGTTTCTTTTTGGTTCGGTCATGAATTGGTGGCCTATTATTATATATAGTATGGATGAGATGATCTCAGTCTTCTCTTGTCAAAGTATACTAGTCCATTCGAGTCTGATCTAAATTTGATGTTTGCTCTAATTAAATTAAAGTAGATGGAAAATCAAATATTTTTGGAGCCTGATTTAATTTGATATCTGGTCTGACTAATCTGGAATATTGATCTCTGTTCAATTCTGTTTAATCCTCCTTTCGTTTTCACAGCATTTTGGAAGGAACGAAATTTGTTTAGGCATTTGGGACCAATTCAAATTATCCAATACCTGCCGTTAATTAACCGCTCTCTCTCGAGGTCGTTCCGAGATCTTTTGTTCCACCTCCCACCTCTACTTCAACACGAGAGTGGGTTCTTCTATCGTGCCCCCCCAGTGCACGCCTATCTGGAACCCTGGCTGGGCAGTTCACAGTGGCGATCCTGAGGGATCACGTGGTCGTCGAGAACTGAGTAAAGGCATTGTGTTGCCGTCGTCTTGGGAGGAGATAGAGAACCTCCCATGTGACGTTCTGGAGACTCGTCTCTTCTCCTACGTCGTGAAGGTAAATCCCGCTCTTTTCCTTTGTTTTAAGGTTGATTCACTTGATCATGTCTGGAACCCTGCTCAGACATGCTCACACTCTCCTGTCATGCCTTCTACGCGTTCAAAATTTCAAGTACATAAGATGGCTTCTTTTAGGCACTAATTGACGATGACGTTGGCCATGATCAGATATATATGAACCATCTGATTTGGATTTTGTAGAATTCTCAGTTATTTGAAAATGCTACAAGTGGCAAGTTAGGTAGTAGACTATCAGTAATAGTACTGCATATGATCATGTCCTTTTCAAACTCTCCATTTGTTCTTCGAATTCAGACGCAGTAGGGGAAAGAGGATCTGGTGCCCCTTCTGATACCATCTTCAAAGACACTTTGGCTCGCGGGATAAGTCTATTTTTCACTTTGGGCTTGGGCTCGTTTCTGCAGGTTTGGCCTATGTCAAGGGGAGTGTAATAGAGGACTGTTGTGGGATTATGCGAGGGGTCTCAGCCCCTATCCTAGCCCGTGCTGAAGGGAGGGTGGTTCCGGTTGGCACAATTTGGGAGCGACTGAAAGCTCTAACAGCTCCCAGAGAGGCTAAGTTACACTCCACTCTCGTTAGGAATCTCATAAATCTGATATTGGCTAAGGCTGTGTTTGGCAAATAAATTTGCACTTATGCAAAATTATGGTAGTGCAAATGATTTGAATGTAAATTCTGACCTATTTTTGTTTCAAATTTTAATTCATTTTGTTTGATTGCAGTACAAGTGAAGTAAATTAAGACATGGAACAGAATAAAGTAAAACCCAAAATAAAATTAAACGAGAATTTATACTTTTTCCATTCGTACTCCCATGCTTTTGTACTAATGTAAATAAAAATGCACTGCAACCAAACACAGCCTAAAGGGGTAGCAGAGAGGGTGGGCCTGAACTTGACATATAAGAGGTTTTCTGAACGACAGGTCAGGTTCATTGTGGAATTGTCCAATCTACAGTTCCGACGGTTCCGGCAATTCCGGTGAAGAAAATGAAAGGGCGAGGGAGAGATCTGAGTGGAGGGTAAAATTGTTATTTGTGTCAATATAAACACTTATGGTAAAAGTAACTTACCTAACATCCCCACCCCAATAAGTGATTAAAAAACATAATAAGTGATTTGAAAAGTGGGTTACCAAACAACTTTAGTGTTTGTTAAAACAAGTACTAACAAGTACTTCCTTTAACAAGTACTTAATCATCAAATAGGGCCTAAGAAGTAGAACAAAAACTGCGAGTCAAAACTCCTAAAACATCAGCTAACAAGACAAGGTCTAGCTGCCAGAGGGGAAATGAATTCCCTGTAAAGATTTTGAGTTGAGTAGGGCTATCAATTGGACTGTATTTGGTCTAATTCAGTCCAATCCAATATTGGTTCATTTACAAATGGACTGGACTAAATCCAATCCAAATCCATACAAACCAAGTCCTATCCAATTCAAATAAAATGCAAACAGACCGGATTGAGTCTAATCTAATCCAAATTGAATCAAACACCAAAATAACATGAAAAATCCATAAAATACACACACAAAAAAAAAACTACAATACAATCCAGTCCAATTAAAATGCAAACAGATCGGATTGGGTCTAATCCAATCCAAAGTGAATGAATAAAAGTACTTTTAAAATTTCTTTTGTAAAAGTGCTTTCATAAAAGTACTTTCAAAAAGTGCTTTCATATAAGTACTTTTTAAAAGTGCTTTCATAAAAGTACTTTATAAAAGTGGTTTCATAATATTGCTTTCATAAAATGGCTTTCATAAAAGTGTTTTTATGTCGGTTTAAATTTTGATCTGTTTCAAATTGGACAAGGGTTTGGCATCGTAGGATTATTGGGGAATTTGGTTTAGGTCCAATTTAGACTAATAAGATTATGGACCAAGTTATTTTGGATTGGCCCAATTTAATAATTATAACAGACTGTCCAAATCCGACTTGATAAGGTGGGGATTGGATTGGATCCAATCCATAACTGGTCCATTGACTCCCCTAGAGTTGAGGTTACAACCCAAGTTAGCTAAGTAATCGGCAACCCTAATTGCCTGATGACAACAGTTTTGCAGCTTGACTAGAACCATCTCACAGAATCCCAACTTCCAAACAAAATTAGAACCCATATAGGAAAGCTTTTACATTGATTGAGCTGCATTGGCTAAGCCACTTCAAAGAAGCTACCTCACATAGCTTCATCAGAAAGTCAATTTTGCAACTTCTATAATCCTATACTCAACTTATTTTTTACCAAACATGGCTTCTCATCATTCCAAGTTCTTCAGCTCATGCAACACTAAAAGTTGTGTGAAAGCCCTCCCAAACGGGCACTTAAGACCAATTGCCACAACCAAGACTTCAGTAACAACATTTGGATGTTTGAACAACATAATAATCCCTTAATCCACTTCTCTATTGACCTCTACAATTCCAAAGGAGCCCTCCAACTATCGCACTATCGTAATCTCCCATTGCGACTCCATCAGTGTTCATCCTGATCCACGCCAAATTATTGGTTAGTTTATAATAGAATTTATAAAATAAATTAGTAAACTATTTAAAAAGAAAGTAAATTATTTAATAAAAATTTAAATAAATTTGAATAAAACAATGCCCCCCAGGCGAGAAGACCTATTCTAAAGGGCCCATACAAACACCTAGGGGGAGTTCTATGATCCTGAGGCGAGGGAACTTTCTATAAGTATTTTTTTTTATATTTATTCATTCAATAATTTTAGTATGGTTTTACTTTGGACCATTTTATGTAATGACTTTTTTTTTTAATTGTTCTAGGCCAAAATAACCACATATATGGCTAAGTAAGCAGAAGTTGGCACACAGGTTGAGGCCATCGGTCCCCATGATGTAGTGGCAACAGTTTTGGGAGATGAACATCCATCACGGGTGCGCTGTTTGGGCTTTGGGCCATCCCCAAAGCATGCTTTTGGTATTGCAAGGTCTGGAAGCACCTCTCAAAGTACAACTACCACCACATGCACAACACAATTGGACCAAGAGAACCAACAACTTCGGGAAAAGGTGGTCTTCAATCGAACGTGGTGAACCTAAATTCACATGTGCATCACTTGCAATCATTCATGGAGCAGATGGCACAACAATATGGCATGCCTATGCCTAATCCATTCCCCACGCTCAACACAGTTCAGGTATGGCTATCACAAATCCCATTGTTTATTGACAGCTACATGAGTCTTATGGTTCAATTTTAGATAAACCACAACTTGGAATATTTTCAGCATTTCATTTCTAGCACCTATTACAACAGTTATCAAAAGGCCCCTTAGGCCTTAGCATTGTGCTCACAATAGTTGAGGATAGTGCTGCTACGACTCTTGTCCTCTTTTGTGACCATACTTCATATTATCACCTATGAGCTTGGTTAAATTCAACCACTAACACACTTTTGCAGCTTGTGGGTGTTAGTGAATGAGAAAGGAGACATGCCTACCATAGGGGCCCCTACTGCATTGTAGTAGGTGCTTGGTGACTTCTAACTAACCGAGATGGGACATATTGGATTAATTAGAAGCAACCTTCTAAAAAGGAAGCCAAAAATGAACTCTCCAAAAGGAAAAGGTCCTTGGGGAAAGCTATAAATAGGAGGATCTCCAAAAGAGGGAGGCCCTAACAAAATTCACACACTATCCTCGTGAGTCCCCTAAGAGTTCCTGCCCAAGAGTCCTCTCTTCCCGCTTCAACTCTCTCATATCTCAGATCTAAGATCTCCCTTCTCTGCTACCTTTGACCACCCATCTTGCAAGCTATTTGGTTATCCTTCCTACAGAGACCTTCTCAGTGCTAATCCCACCCTCTTACAGATTGCATTCCCTTCTCCTAGCAAAATATCCCTAATTCCTATCCCTTCAAAGTATCAAGTGAGAAAATATTGATGGAACATTAGAAAATGATATGCAATGCAGAAAAGATAGGTAAAATATAGATTGACAAGAAAAGCACAGAAACCATTGAAACACAGAAAAACCAGACTCACAAATATCTGGGTGCCCTTCATTGATTCCTTTTCTTCTCTTCTCTTCTCTTCCTTCTTCCATCCTCTCCTTGACTTACTTTCTTATCCTTCCAACCTTATGAAAGCCATTTATAATTGGAAAAGTAGTCAAACAAGCAAACAAGAGATTAATTAAAGCATTATATATACTAATTCAAGGGCTTACTTGTGGTTTCAAATGCTTAACCATAAGTTTGTTTGGTTTTAGTCCGGCCTAAGTCTAGCTAGATGGTTGTTAATAGCTCTCCTTGTCTCTACCTTATGCATATTGGTTCTATTTGTAGTCGATTTCCATTTGGGTATAAAATGATCATACAGTGCTATATATCAAAATAGGATTGAATTTTAAACCATTTTGATGAACCATCCAGTTTGACCTCTAAACTTGCTTAATTAAATAAAAAAAGTGTAAAAAGAAAAAAAAAAACAAGAAATAAATAGTTAATATTGGTTTTACCTATCTATCTATCTATATATTATAGGTAATAACACTCCTAGTACATGTGTTTGGTAATATTTACTAAATCAACCTTTCTAAGAACCAAGGGGTGTATGAATTTACAATTTGGTTAATAACACTCCTCTGGACTTGCTTATTAGATCAACTGGTGTATGAATTTACAATTAACTAGACTACTTGGTTGGACAGGAATGTCTCTTCCCTAACCATAAATCAAAATGTTCCATTGGTTTCTTTGTATGGGAAAAGTTACTATTAGACGTAAATTTGGAATCTGATGGAAATTTGTTCTTCCTCCATTTGGTTCAATCACATTTTTAGAGAAGCTAACAAGCTGATGGATGTACAAGCAATTGGCCTTTATTTTGTGGTTGAAAGATACAGACTTGAAAGATATGAAAACAATAATATGAAAGGTTGGGCTTGATCCCCAACTAAATTATTGGGTCTCATTTAGAGACTAACTATCTTTTGGGGAAATCTTAATCAATTGCAGAGTTATCATTAGTTATAACTGGTGTGAGGAGTTATCACTAGTTTCCAAAGCCTTCTATGCAAACATCACATTCAGCTAATATGAATTATGCAATTCCAGGGTGCAGCAAGATGTCGGAAGTTGAAGTCTACAATAAAGCAGTAGTAGCTTTAGCCATCTCTTGGCTTCTGGTGTTGAAGTGTTTTAAGGAATGTGCTCCTCTTTTACTTTGTCTATACTGTTTCATCCCCTGGTTTGTCCGTGTACGATCCTTTGTTGTATTTGGACTAATACGTGCAGGGAATCATCGATCATGGGAATTACTTCAAAACCGTATCTAAGGGTAGTTTTATATGGTTATGGAACCTAGGGAAGTGTACTATAAGATATATGGGATGGCACAACAATATGCATGGACCATGATAAGAGACATAACTAAGAAGGGTTTCACATGGTTTTGCTCCCAATTTCATTATTATGGTTGTAGTTAGGTCTGGTCTGGTTGCTCCACTTTCACATGAATTTGTGGGTAAGTAACGTAGGTGCCCCTACTTCTTGTAGTACAAAGCAGACCTGACCTTTGGTTTTAGGACACAGCTAGCTCTAACATTTTGTTTGAGTCAGAGGCCTACTAAAGAATTATTGATGAGTGGTCACTAGACAAAAACATGCCATTTGTTGGCCAAAGTTGGTGCCAGTTTAAACTAGTGGGTAGAGCTGCATAGGCACAAATCTACACCCATGGTGTAAATTCAGCTTAGATTGGGCTCGGCCTCAAAGACAGTATAGAGTGCTCGTTTAATCATGGGTTCCCAAGAATTGTTTTGAATCTTGGATCAACCTTGCACAACTTGCTTCTCTAAGATTATTTCTATCATTGTTTTAAAAACTGACCCAGAAAACCGGTCTGCCTTGGAGAGATCAACACTGAGAACACATTTGCTGAGATCAAGGTTGTAGCACTCCCTTGCTAGCTAGTTTGTTGGTAAAGACTCTAGCTACTTGTAGCAGAGATTCAGAGCTTGAATCTGTATTATTTATTTAAGTCATATACTAGCATTTGATCCCCTTCGCTCAGTAGTGGAGGTAAATGTGATCCTTTTCAATTAAGTCTTAGCAATTATATTAACATGGCTTAAGTGGAGGTAAATGGTAATTTCAAGTTAGGTTTATTTGATATTTGAACCTTTTTAATTGGTTTTTGTCACTAGAAGAAGCTTGAGCTACACTTTATAATTTGGTTAAATATTATGATGCAAAAATCAAAGTAGCCAACAAAAAGTATTTCTTCATATTCAGTGGCTTTATATATGTCAGCTGTATCGAATATTATGTTTATGATAATTAATCCATTTCTCTTATTCAATTTTGATAAAAATATTTGAATACATTGTTTTTTTGTGCAGAGCCATGGATCAGAAAACACTCCTGTTCCACTTAGAGATTTTGATCCCCATCATGCAAGTCCATCATCAAACCCGATAAGATAAGCCAAATTTACTTTTATTTTTATATCAACCAAGAAAAATGTTTATACTTTTATATCTTTTAGTGAAAATATAATATAATTGTTTTTTCTTTATAGGACATTGAACAAGTACTTGGCACAGGGTCCTCTCGTGCATATGTAACAAGTAGGGAGAAGGAGAATGTGAATGCAAAGGGGAAATCCTTTCATTTTGGATGATATTTTATCTTGTTTTTTTATATTTTTGTTTAAACATAAATGTTTAATTGTAAGTATTAAAGTTTTTTATAATATTTTAATATATGTTTATATTATCAATTAGAAGGTTATATGGATAAATGTGATTAATCAAGTGTAAAGCAGGTGATGTAAATCCATTTTGATAGCTGCAAAATGGGAAAAATAAAAAAAAAAATAGTCAACTTTTAGCGACATTTGTAAACGTCACAAAAGGTAGAAGAGAAAAAATTTTGCCAACTTTTGGCGATGTTTGTAAACATCACCAAATAAATGGCACTTTTCGTACAAACGTCACCAAAAGCTGATAGATTTTTTCCCCTTATCCACCTTTGGTGACGTTTGTAAACGCCACCGAAAATTGCCATTATTTGGTGATGTTTACAAACGCCGTCAAAAGTTGGTGCATAAACGTTGCCATAAGTACGCCCGAGGGGAGGGAACTGGAGCAAATTTAGTAACATTTGCAAACGTCATTGAAAAGTCCCATAAACATCACCGAAAGTTTTCCAGACTTTTGTAGGTGCGACGTTTGTGCAAACGTCATTAAAATCCTTTCATGACGTTTGTAGCGGTTTTGATGATGTTTGTCTAACGTCGCCAAAAGCCTATTTTTTGTAGCATCACAAAAATGCTCATGCTTACCATTCAACAAATATAAGTAAGTGGTGGGACTGTGAAATTCTACAAGGCATTTATGTAAGGCGGTAATTATATACAATACACAATAGAATAGCACATGGAGTACTGCAAGTGCAAATAGTTGATATGTGGGAGAAATTTTAAAGAGATAGAAGGGGAACATGAGTTTGTGGTGTGGGATTGTGGGTGAATACAATATTTCATAGAAACACAATTTTGGATGGACCCATGGGCCTCATCCCATCTCAAGCTAAGCTTAATATGAAGCTATAGGTAGTTGGACCCAACAAACCCATCCAATACATGGCATTTTTGTTTGCCACATCAGCAGCTCTCTCCTTGTTCAGTTATTCAAACCGAACAATTCTAAAAGAGTGCAAGATTTCTTCTAGAAGCCCATGGAGTTACTACCTAGCATGGCTATCTCTCCTTTTTTGCCCCATTAAAATTAGGAAAAAACCTACTACCTTTATTTTAAGAAAAAGACCCGTTAACTTAGGAAATCTTTTCCTATAATCTCTCTCTAATCCTTTCATATAATTCTTGGTGAATTCAGAGTTTGGAGGCCTAGGGATTCATGATGTTTTAATTTCTTGAGAAATAAAGATGTACTGGTGAAACTTTCTTGACGTTTGTGGCTGAACTCGTCGACTTTGACAATAAGACATGGAGTAAAGATATCATTTCCAGCTGTTTTGATCCTCTAGTTACTCATCAGATACTTGCACTTGAACTGCCACAAAACATGTCCAATACAAATGACAAATTAGTATGGACGTTGACATCACATAAACTTTTTACACATGGTTTTTAAAACCGGACCGGACCGGACAGTCAGACCGGAAAAACCGGGAACCGGTCTTTCCCAAATTTTATTTGGGATTTCATTTGGAGGGCTGCAACAATTGGACTGTTACTTCATGGTTGGCATACTAGTGATCTCAATTCCCAAATACACCATCAAGTGAGTTAAGTCTCTTGAGTCATTCAGTCAATGTTGGATAATCATGTGGCATTTTTGGAAATCTTAGTGTAAATTGGTTATGAAACAGGTTTCTTTTGGAAATCCCCTTTTGGTACTAGCGGCTACTCAAGCACAAATTTCTCTGAATTGACACACTTTAAAGAAGAGCATTGTTGATGGAGCAGTTGGGACTCGGAATTCTGGTATTGGTATCATCTTGCGACACCACCATGGCTCTCTTATTTTTATCCCTCGTACAGCTAATTGTGTGGCCCATATTTTAGCCACAATGGGGTGTAATATCTCTACATCTTTGACTTGGTCAACACCTCCTGAATTTCTCAAGCCTGTACTTATGAATGACTTGTTGCGATGAATTACCCTACGGGCTTTTCTTTAAAAAAAAAAGAAAATCCATTCCTATAATCTCTCCCAGTCCACACAAATGGAAACTTGTCTAAAACCTAACCCATCCATGTAGGAACGTGGCAGTGTTCTCTTCTTCATCAGAGTCCCACTCCAACTAAAGTGGTTAAATTAATTTGTGGAATATTTTTTATATTTTCAATTATTATTGATATTATTGAATATCATTCAGTAAATACCAATACCTAAACTATACTTTTTCATAATTTTGGTAAATTGAAAATTTTAATTACTAAAAATTACATGCTGAAAATGACTGATTTTGGTTATTTAATTTCAGATTTTTTTGACAATTAATTATTGAAATCAATAATTACTGAAAAGTTGACAATTAATTAAAATATTAATAAATACAAATTTATTAATTAAAAATTACTGGCAATATTTCATTGAAAATTTTATTTTAATAAATATAAATTTATTTTTTATATTTTTCAGTAATTTTTGTCAAATTTATTAATATTTAATGGTATTATCAGATAATAATTAAAAATTTAATTCAGTGAAAGTCAAATTATAAATCTTCCAATTATTCAAATAAATAATTTTAATTCAGTTTTGGGGATGACCCCCCCCCCTGATAGGAATGACAAAAGGTGGGTTTGGAGTAGGGGTCATACTCCCTGACCCGATCCCAAGTTTCAAATTAATTCCTATCTTTAATTCCGATCCCCATCAGGAAAAAAATTTAGCTTGCATCCCTGATCCCCAATTAATATGTAAATATAATTTTAAATATATATTGATATATAATATAAATAATATATATATATATATATATATATTTAATATAATATTTACACATTTATCTATCCATCTATGTATCTATACAAAGCAAGGTGGTCCAAGTCACCATGCCTCTCCTTGCTCCAAACCCCTTAACCTCCCAACCATGCTGCTCTCTCCTTAATTCTCTCTCTCCCCCTTCCCAAAACTCCCAAACCACCAAGTCATCAATCTTTAAAATTTTCTTACTAAAAACATTCTTAAAATCTCCCTCTTTAGCCCCTCTCCCCTAAAATCTCTCCACACTCCTAAGTTATTGTCCTTAAAACTCTCATTCCCCACCGTTATTCTCTCATCATTTTTAACCCAATTTTCCAATTATTTAAGAAACGTCATCACCTAATTCCTAAAACCTCCCCTCATTCTTTAAATATTGCTCATTACTAACTTTTTTTATACTCCTAATTAGTCCCCACTTCTAACTAAGACACTACTCTCTCCACTACTCGACCGGGTATTGGTTCGGTTTTCATTAATCCAACCCAGTTACAACCCATTTACTTTGAATGGTACATTAAAAATTGTTTATAATTAATAATTTCATTTTGTTTTATTATAACTCATACCAAAATTAATTAATTATTTCCATGGCTAATTAAAAATTACTAAATAAAATTACTATTTTTAATAATTAATAATTTTTATGTTATTAATATTTTTAAGATTAATTACTAATAATATTAGTGATATATTACCAAAATTAATTAATTATTTTGTTTATATTACACATTAAAAATTAATAATTGTTTTCATGAATAAATAAATTAATTATTTTAATTACTATTTTAATATTGGGATTAATTAAAAAGATATTATTTATATATTCATTATTAATTCAGAATTACCAAAGTTTAATACCAAAATATATTACTGTTTTTAATAAATAATGTTAGTGATATATTACCAAAAAATTAATTAATTACCAATAACAATCAATTGTTTTATTAATATTAAAATTTTAAATTTAATAATTATTTACATGAATAATTAAATTAATTATCTTATTACTTTTTTAATAATTCATAATATTAGTTTTGTTAATTAGTAATTTTATTGAATATTACTATTAACAACAGTAATATTTTTTTATAAAATAAGAATTATAAGAATTATTAACGATAATTATAGATTTATTCCTAATTTTTAAATGTTAATTATAAAATTTAAAAATCATTATAACTATTTTCGTGAATAATTAAAATTACCTTAAAATATTATTGTTTTTAGTAATTAATATTATTGTTAATAACTACAAAGTAAAATTAGTGCTATTAATTACTAGTGGGGACCCGTGAGATGCATGAGTTTTGTTAGAATAATTTGTAGCAAAAGGAGCTAGGGTTGTAGATTGGGTTGTGTGGGCCTAATTCGAGCCTGGCCAGGCCTAGCTCAACCAAAGCTTTTGTACAAGTTGGGGTTGAGTTTTCAAACTTTAAGCTAGGTTTAGGCCAAAAATCTCAAGGCTAACCTTATCTCAAGTTGGGCTTAGGTTGAGCCCTTGGGTAGTTCAAGCTTGATCCAACCTATTTGAGCTCATGCCAACATTTTGTAATAGATTGGGCTATGTAGCTCAATATGCCCAAGCCTAAGTCTAGCTCAAGATTTTAGGTTAAGCTTGGGTTGGGCCTAAGTTGGTAAGCACGGGCTTAACCTTGGGTTGTTAAACCCATGTTTGGGTTAGTAAATTACCGGTAATTATTGTCATCCTATTTTTGTTATATATTAGTTAATTATCAGTAATTTTTGAAAATTATCAATAATTTTTCTCTTACCAACTTGGCCTTAACTCGAGCTTTGACCCAACATCTTGGGTGGGTTTAGGATTGGATGTGTTGAGTTTTGTGGCACAATTTCTAGGTAGAATATATTGATAATATGTAGATACATATATCACAAAATATTGGGCAGGTTCAAATTGATCAAATCGGGCTTAGGCTACCCATGCCCTCAACCCAAGCTCGACTTGAATTTAGGTTAGACTTCAGTTTTTTTTTCCTTAAGTCCAGCTTGAAGATTGAAAACTCAAACCCAACCTATGCAAAATCTTTGGTTGAGTTGGGTTGGGCTCGGGTTAGGCCTACTCAATCTACACTTTAAATCCTTTTGCCTCAAGTTATTTTAAGGAAGTCCATGCATCAGCACAAGTCCCCACTAGTATATATAC